ACAGCTGTAAGAAGGCACCCCTGGACACTAGGTCCACCTGGGCTTCCAAGGTCAGACCCAGTTCAAGGAGCACCCCCAAGCTGTGGACCCTGTCCTTTAGGGGGAGTGTAATCCCATCTAAGGCAGGGAAATGGCCCTTTAACCTACCTGGCGGGGCACCTATCAGCAGCACTTCTGACTTGTCTGGATTGAGCCTCAGTTTATTGACCCTCATCCAGACCATTATCAAGTCCAGGCACGAGTTCAGAATGGTGACTGCCACACCTGGTTTGGTAGAAAATGAGAGGTAGAACTGGGTGTCATCAGCATATTGCTGACTCCTCTGCCCAAACCTCCTAATGACCTCCCCCAGCGTTTTCAAATTGGGAGCAGGGAATTGCCATATTTCCCAGCATGGAACTACTCTACATTCTCCTGCAGAGTTATATCTCTGTGTGCCGCTTGAACTCTCTTCTTGAGAGAAGAGGACAGTTTCCTTTTGCAATGGGAGGGGGAAAGGGAGGACTGCAAGGTTAGAGAGAGAGAGAGAGACAATTGGAAGGGAAGGAGGGAGGGAGTTGTGACTCGTACAGCAGCATTTTTCACTCGTCACAGATGAGTGGATGAGTGCATTTTTCAAGCCCTGCATGTAACTTAGAGCAGTTAACTGCCAGCTATGTGTCTTTTGGTTTGGCCATCTATCTGAGATATAGCAGAGCAGTCCCTTTGTATGCAGTCAGACCTAATCAGTGTTTTTTTGTGGACAGATGACCTGGTTCAAGTGTAACAGCTAGCAGTGACATTCTGTTTAAACAATCTTGTCCAGTACTCAGGTTCGCATGCTTCCTCTTCTCTCTTTGAACTTTAAGCAAACCACAGTTCTGGCAAGTTCAGACATCATAGTACAACTATGATTAGTCCCGAAGTTTTAGGCCCTCGTGTATGAAAAAGTGAGGCTGAAACAAATGTGTTCACAGACTTGGAAACCAGAAAGCAGGCCCTGCTAGATCACACAATATACCTGGTTGTCTGCAATTGTGTTTCGGTAGTGACCAGCTATGTACTTTTGAGCATTTGCTGTTATTTTTGGCTCAGAATAGAAATAGGATTTTTTTTTATTTGTCTCCCACATGTGTCTGGCCACTTTGGACCCACTTCTCAGAACTGGCCAGTCCACATACCACTCATGGCATGACGCATGCAGCCATAGTTGTTCACTGCACCACTTGTGGAAGTAGCCGAGCCAGTGTTTCCCTGCATTGCTGACCATTCAGCAGCTGAGCAGGGAGAGTCGTCATTCCGCCTCCTTGCTGGAGTGGTCAGCAGTGCAGGGAGGTGGGGAAGCGCCAGCCAGACTACTTCCACAATTGGTGTGGCATGAATAATGCTGGCCTTCGCACCAAGCCATGAGCAGTAAGTGGACTAGACAGTTCTGGGGAGTGGGTCCAAAATGCCTGGCCACCTGTGATGAAGGTATTTGTATTCATCTCTGGGAAACGAATACAAATATCCCATCTCTAGTCCAGAACACTGTTGTGCCCTGTTTGGTATGGTTAGCAACTTGTCCTACCCTGTTTGCCTTCCATACATGTATAATGATGTGGGAGCTGTAGTCCCATTGAGTATTATTTGGGAGTAAATAGCGCGATCTTGTAGGTGAGCCCAATACTATCTTTCTTCCACCCTACTATCCAAGAGATGAGTTAGTGAGAAAGATATGCAAGAAAGTCTGCCCCCATGTTTGCATTGTTTTTACATTCAGGTCTTGAGAGTCAAGCTGTCTAAAAGAACTCATCCCCCTCTATGAGCCTACCCAGGCATTAAGATAATCAGTGAAGGGCCTTCTCTATCACTGCTTCCAGACTCTGAAACACTTCCTTCTTCCTCCCAGGAGGCTAGGCTGGCCCCATCTTAGCTATCCTTTCCCAAGCAGGCAAATGCTATTCCCTTCAGGAAAGAGGGAGAGCACCCTTTAATTTTTGGCCCCGTTGGGCAGGGCTCAGCCTCTCGCATGGCTTCGCCACTGCTTGCGCACATGACTCAGCCCTCTGCACCCTGGGTTTGTCACAACCCCAAACCAAACTTAATAGCTGCACTGAATTCAGGGGAGCCACTGCTAAGTCTGAATGGACCATACCAACCTTAATGGACTAATGGTCTGACATACAGTTGTGTTCAAAATTATTCAACCCCCACTGAAATTGGATGTTTTGGCCATTTTGACATTGATTTTGATCATTCAGTCGTCTTGCTTACATTTACATGAAAGAGGCACTTGTAGGTCAGAGAAATATAACCTTAAGTTTATAATGAAATAACCACAAATGTCTTTTCTGTGCTCACATCATTATTAGTTTTTATTCAACCCCCAAGTGACATTCAATCTTAGTACTTAGTACAACATCCTTTTACAGTTATAACAGCTTTTAAACGTGAAGCATAGCTTGACACAAGTGTCTTGCAGCGATCTACGGGTATCTTCACCCATTCTTCATGGGCAAAAGCCTCCAGTTCAGTCAAATTCTTAGGCTTGCGCACTGCAACTGCTTTCTTTAAGTCCCACCAGAGGTTCTCAATCGGATTTAAGTCTGGTGACTGCGATGGCCACTCCAAAATGTTCCAGCCTTTCCTCTGCAACCATGCTCTAGTGGACTTGGAGGTATGCTTGGGATCATTGTCCTGTTGAAAGGTCCAACGTCTCCCAAGCCTCAGGTGTGTGACGGACTGCATCACATTTTCATCCAATATCTCCTGGTACTGAAGAGAATTCATGGTACCTTGTACACGCTGAAGCTTCCCTGTACCTGCAGAAGCAAAACAGCCCCAAAGCATTATTGACCCTCCGCCATGCTTCACAGTAGGCAAGGTGTTCTTTTCGTCATATGCCTTGTTCTTCCTCCTCCAAACATAGCGTTGATCCATGGGCCCAAACAGTTCTAATTTTGTTTCATCAGTCCACAGAACACTATCCCACAACTTTTGTGGTTTGCCCACATGACTTTTGGCATACTGCAGTCGACTCTTCTTATTCTTGGGAGACAGCAAGGGGGTGCGCCTGGGGGTTCTGGCATGGAGACCTTCATTACGCAGTGTGCGCCTTATTGTCTGAGCTGAAACTTCTATACCCACATCTGACAAATCTTTTTTCAGTTCCTCAGCAGTCACACGGGGACTTTTCACCACTCTACGCTTTAGGTAGCGCACAGCAGTCGAAGTCAGCATCTTCTTTCTTCCACGACCAGGTAGCATTTCAACAGTGCCCTTTGCCTTGAATTTGCGAATGATGCTTCCTATGGTGTCTCTTGGTATGTTTAACTTCTTTGCAATCTTCTTATAGCCATTGCCCTTCCTGTGAAGACAAATCACCTCTTCTCTTGTCTTCCTGGACCATTCTCTTGACTTCAATTTATTTTTAAATTGGTTTTAACATACTATCTAAGCTTAATACAGTGTCTCTGCACTGTTCCGCTGCAAATGTTTATGATTCAATTTCACATCTAACTGAAGCTTTTTAAGCCTAACAGTTTTCTGTAAAGTAGTTGCATAAGCATTATGGGGCTCTGTATTTTAATCTCTCTCTCTCTCTGTGCTTGTGACTCTCCCCTCCCCAATCATAATGATCTTTCTCTTGGGCCACTGAAGGATTGATCCCAAAAATTAATTTTTGCTGTTTGGGACTGGAAGGATGGGGAAAGAGGTGTCAGTGTTCCTTGCATGGTACAAAAAAAATGGCTGATAAGTTCTAGACAGCACAGTGCAGCTTTCCTCAATCTACCCTCTCACCTTGCGTCTCACAACAACACAGCTGGGAACAAAGTTCTGGTCTAGATGGGCATTCTAAAAACTATTCAGTGAGCATGTAGTTTTTTCTGTTTCACAACATCTCTACACTTAAATGTCAATTGTCTCTAATTGCAGATTGTGTAAATCAGAAAACATGATCATTCAGCTATTTGTGTTTTATAAGTGGCCACGCAATGAAAAATTTATGAACTTTCGCTGGCATGTTCCTTAACTGATGATGGAAATATACTTGAACTATTTTTGTTGTTTTCCAGTGGATCAGATGGGAAGATGGGTCGTTGCTGGGGGTGCTGTCGTAGGGCTTGGTGCCCTTTGTTACTATGGATTGGGAATGTCTAATGAGGTTGGAGCCATTGAAAAAGCCGTGTAAGTAAAATACCTAAAGTTCTTTGAAGTTTTTCAATCTAAAAACAAAGTAGTGAAAATGTATTTCAGTAAAAACCTGATTATAGCTACGGCTGTTGTTTTTAAAAAACACACTTGAAAAGTAATTGTGTCTCATGAGATGAGCTTCTGCTTTATGGAACCTGGAACTAGACAGGGTTTTCGTCCTTTAAAAATGATATAGCTAAATTGGCAATTGGTTGGGAGGGAACACATTAGATGAAAGCCTGTTGTTTAGCATAGTTTATCACACTAGCATAGTATATCCACTGGCTCAGTGAATTAGTGATTTGGTGAGTCAGTTCTGAAAATTCTGTTGATTCAAATAAGTCTACTCTAATTGCAACTTACTTCACTATACTAAACTAAGTTGCAGTTAGAGTAGGCCCATTTGAATCGATGGAACTTAGAGAGGACTTGACTCATTAAATCCTCATTGATTTATCATACCTACAATGGAGGAGTTCCTGAAGAAGCTGTTGGACATTACAGAACTAGATGCACTTTCAGAAGCACTATGAGAACAACCAAGGGACTATGCAAAACAAAGTTGGAACTTAATACAGTATATGTTTGGGCCCAGAGACAGACCAAAGGATAGGGCAAATTGATTGATGTGTTGTTTTTTACTCCTTCAGTGCTCTCTGGAAACTTGGGAAATTTGTGATTCAATGAGGTCTGAATCTCTGTCCTCAAAGGGAGAAGGGGGGTTTTTGGGGGGG